TTTACCAGGTAATTACCATTATTAAACGCATTAATGCGTTTAATACTTGCATATTGTGTAGTGTGATTTATGTTTTTCCATAATAGTGCAAAGATTTCAAATTTGTTTAAGGTAAGTATCTAAATATGTAAAGAAATACAGGCTGTATTTGTATGTAATTAAGAGGGAAAAAAGCACAAACTAGGTTTATGCACAAGTACATGTGGTAATAAATACAGAGGTTGCCCCATTTATTTGTGTGAAAATTCGATAATTATTCTGACCTACAACCAGACCTTTTTTAAATGGAAAACTTGCTCCATATGACGGCCCTTGTTCTTAACTTTAAGAATGCATCGCTTTTTACCCGATAAAAATACTTTCAGTCACTTTTCTAGGGTGTCTTTCTTTGACTACTTTTTTTAAGCGTTCCAAAATGCAGCAAAAATCGTAAATTCTCCGGTATAGAAGTTGTTGTGTCAGGATGAAAAATCCTAAAAAATCTAAACGGTCAATGTCTGATGACTCACACGGGGTTTCTTGATTTTTCAGGACTGCAGGACCAAAACTATCGTCATCCGTTTTTGCGCACTGCTGAGTTTTCTCAGTAGAAAGCCGAAAAAAGTTTGTGATTTCTAAATTCGCAGATATACCTAGGACATTTTTGCTATAATCCTTCAGAAAGCAGGTTTAATTAGTCTCGGGATAATTGGTCTATTGCGTTTTAGCAGTCTGACCATGCTGCATTGGGATTCGGGATTTACCTGGTGGGTTAAGTCGCCCAACCGCATTTTCAGCTTTTTGGGGCGTTCAGCAGTGGGTAGTTTTTCGAAGGTGATAACGATGTTAGACTATTGGATGGAATTTGAATATATCTACCATGCACTGTTGCGCTAAATAGCCTTACGACATTTGTCATCATGTCTTCTCCACAACTTCCAACTTCCGAAAACATGTTAACACCGTCCAAAATACGCTTGGGGAACGACCCCGTTTTCCATGTGGATTTTCCGGCTGTGGGGAAACCTCCAAGTATGATGTTGCGAAACACGAAAAGATTCAACACGCCGAGAATCCGGTCCAATTTGGGTGCACTCTTCGTAAAAAAGAATTTAAGACCCGGGCCGAACTTGAAAGTCACACTTTCATTCACACGACAGAGAAACCGTTCAGTTGTGCCACTTGTGGGAGGGGTTTCCCCCTCAGAATGAATTTAAAACGTCACGAGGTAATCATATTTAAAGAAAGAGAACATTGCAGTGAAAAAATCTGCGTGTCAGAAATATTTAAAAAAAATTGTCGGCATAATTTCATGCTCGAGTGAAAAGAAGATCAACGCCATGCAGATGATAAGCCCAATTATCAAAGGCTTTGATAATATTCGATCCGACGGATCGGATCGGATATTTTTATCCGACCAGTTGCTACAACATGGCCGGATCGGATACATGTATATTAATAATCTCGATGATCCGATCGGATCGGATGACCAACCTTAATCAAAGCGGGGTTGGCCTGTTTTCCAGAACACTACACCCAAAATAACCTGGTGTCAATCCAGTGTTGTCACATATAGACACCGCGCGGTGTCTATATGTGACTTCACCGCGCTGGATTGACACCACATTATTTTGAGTGTACCCATTGCAGCTTTTGCAGTCTAGAGTATTTACAAATTGCACAGAATCGAAAGCTGAAATTGCAATATATGTATCAGAGTTGAGTCGGACTTTCAGATAAAGGATACATCCGAACCCAATCATTCGGCTCGGTTTGGATGTTTTTTTAACCTAAAAATTCGGATTAGATTCGGATTGATATTTTTTTAACTGAAATAGAGCAAATCTTATATGAACCCGATCACTTGGAAATTTATCCTCAAAATGGTCAAAAATGATTTTTAAAATCTCAAATTTTTGGTGCTTATTATAAACATTACTGATATTAGGTATCCGTGAAGAAAGGAGACCTTAATCAATCACTCACTTCGTATGTAGTCTTTTTCGTCGCGCCCGCCGTTAATTCTTTTCCGGAAGACTTTGCAACTTCATTGTTAATTTTCTCCCTCCGTAACCAAAATTTTCTTTAAGTATCGACTGTTTCACAAAGCTGTGAGTATGTCTTCTCACATATAGCCAAAATTTTTTTAATTGAGCGAAGATAATGGATGTATGTGGGATTTTAATTTTTCAGCATCAAAATGATTTTTTTCTCGATTTTTTCCTTGATAGTTATTGCATTGTGGATTAGCCCAAGTTCGGTCCAAAAAATTTGCATTTTGTATTTTATGATACACCTTGATGAAAGGAATCAGACGGTCTATTTCACATTTCCGAAAACAAACCTGTGCGTCCTCATAGCCCATATGAACTGTGGGGTCCGAAACATGCCCAAATTTACCGAACGCCAGCCAAACCTGAGATTTTTTGAGAAATTTCGAAAAATATTTTAATTTCTGTTCGGTTTTCAGTTGAGAGATATATTTGCCATGAAAAAATTCCCTTCCCGAAGTTTCTGTCACGTTTTTAAGGACGTAGGACTCGTCGTCAGTGACCAATTATTTTGGTGACATTTTGTTGCACGGCTTGATAGGTCTTGCGTTTACCATTTTTTCTTGACGTTCCGTATGTTTTGCTGGAGATTTCTTTGAATATGCTTTGACCCGCAATTTATGGGCTTTAATATGATACAAATAGTTTGTATTAATCTTTGACTTCATGGCGTCATCAGGCACGGACGTGGATGAATAATTAAAAAAAATGATTCAATCGTTATTAACTTTCGAGGGGCCTATATGGTGGTTTTTTCTCATGGTGCGTATTTTAGGTTGACATTTTCGGATTCTGCATACTTTTTTATGTATGTCTCAATTTTTTCACGCCCACCCGCTTCTCCGTTGAAATGCAGTCAAGTCTACTTCGAGTCGTTGTCACTCAAATTTTTGGACTTACAAAAACTCGTTTCCCGATTTCCTCAATTTGAAGTGGTGTAGGAAATTTATTAAGTAGCTTCAGCTACTTTATGCGAAGACTTTGTCTGTCTGTCTGTCTGTCTGTCCGTCTGTCAGCAGGATAACGGAAGAACGGATTGAGATAATCGAAATCGGTTTTCGCCATTATACATATGACCCTAGGGGGAGGATCCTATCAACTTTTGGGGGCAACCGGACCACCCCCCTTCTCGCCAGGGGGTGTGGTCGGGGCAAAATGAGATTTATAGTGCAATTTGATCTATGGATGAAATAGAGTGAAATGAAGTGATCCCGAGTTGTGCCACACCCCCTCGGCGCCAGGGGGTGTGGTCGGGGCAAAATGAGATTTATAGTGCAATTTGATCTATGGATGAAATAGAGTGAAATGAAGTGATCCCGAGTTGTGCCACACCCCCTCCGCGCCAGGGGGTGTGGTCGGGGCAAAATGAGATTTAAAAAAATTGAATCTATAGGTGAAATGGAGTGAAATTGAGTGTTTTCGCGATGTCATGGGAGTGGTTGGGGTGAAGTAGTCTGAAGCTACTTCCGTATGCGCGTTTGCGACGGTTTATTTTCCAATGAAAACTTATGAAATTTTTGGGAGACGTGGTCAGATATGTTTAGCATATTTTGCAAGAATTTCAGATTTCTAACCCTACTTTTGAGGACTCTGCTATTAAACGCCCTAGTGATCGGGTTCATATAAGATTTGCTCTACTCGGATTCAGTTCGGCTGAATTAGAAAAAAAAGTGTCAAACCGAGTCAACTCTGCAATATTAAGAAATATTAATTTTTGCAGAAAACCCACCTGGAGGAGTCTTCCCGTCAGAAATTTGATTGTCAACTTTGCCCCCAGGCTTTCTTAAGTCGGCTCGGGTTACAGGGGCACATTCTTGTTGGCCATGAAAATAAGAAAAATTACACATGCACACTTTGCGAAAAACGATTCGGAAGATCAGACAATTTGAGACATCACATGGGGGCTATTCACACCGAGAACAAGGAATTCGTTCACTCCTGCGTCACGTGCGAGTATAAATCTTACTCAAAATTCAATCTTGACCAACACATGAAACGTCGGCACGGTCCAAGAAAGCACGAGTGTTACTTTTGTGACCAGAAATTCCAAGAGTTTTTCCAATTGGTGAAACACTTCGGTCGACTTCATACCTTGGAAAAGTAGGGCTTTTCTAGAGTTATGAACATATGTATAGACGAGGGATGTAAGACTAAGGATGATCATACGTTTAAATTATATATGAACATTCTTAACATTTATTTGTAAGTAAGAGTATTAATGTATTAATCCTTTACTTTACATGTAATTTTAATATATTTGTTTATACGTATATTTATATGTACTTTGTATCCCAAAATAACTTCTCTCTTATGCTGATACATAATATCAAACTTGAATCTAACTTATTAAATATAAATTGTTAGGTTGCAAAATGGTTTTTGGTGATTTATAGATTTTCATATGATTACAGTTTTTCCGTAGTTTCTTGCAACGCGTTTAACACTTGCATAAGTTGTTGCCCTATTTTTACTTCAGCAATCTTGATTAAATAACTAAGTACATGTACTTAGTTACTTAATGTTACTTACTCAATGTTTGAGTATCATTGCGAACTTATGTACAATGAGCCTGACATGCAGAGGGTCTCTCCTCGTTAGCACATAAATATTTAAACTTGTCGGTAGGATTTGCTTCCATTATACTGCAAGCATTTTAACTTTTTTAATTTGCAACGAAGTGCATGCTACATTTTCTATTACTCCACAACAGCAAAAATACATACATATGTAGGTCTGTGTATGTATGTATGTACATATATGTATGTTTGATTTTCATAATAAATACTTATAGTATATATGTGGCTATATATTTATTAGTCATATAAACACACGTTATTTACATACAACTGAAAACAAAATTTTTATACGCTCGTTATTTCCGGTCAACGAAAGCGAAACAGGAAACCACAAACCGAGTGTTTTTTTCCCTGCAGCTTTCTTGCATCTTAATTCAACAAGTGGAAAGAAATTGGAAACATTCTTAAAAATGTTTAAAATACAATTTTAGGGGAATTGCCATTTAATTCTCTTATGTATATTAAACAATTCTAAATAACATTTTCAAAAACAGGTACATATAAAATCATGTCGCTAAATGATACGTATCCTCACGGAGCTGAGGAGGAGTTTGACGTATACAATTCTGCCACGATCCGCGTCATTTCAATATTTTTTATCTGTTTAGCATTTATTTTCATCGGGTTTAGTTTGTTCGGAAATACGTTAAGTGTTTGGGTGCTTTTGAGAAAGAAGAATAAAACGCCGAATACGGTGTGTCTCCTCGCTTTGTCGGCGTGGGACGTTGGGGTGTGCATATTTTTGGCGCTGTTCGTCCTAACACCGGTAATCTTTGAGGTGACCGAGACGCTGATAATAGTGGTGGGAATATTTCAAATTATGGGAGATTTGTGTGAGTAAATTTTTAATAAATTATGCAAATTTGTAGATACACACTCTTAAGAACAATGTTACATATGCATTTACTTGGCATTTACTTTTCAAAAAGATAGCTTTATTTTGAAGAGTGTGCAGTTTCCCAGGAAAGGTTCGAACTTTTTACAAGACCCTGACATGAGTACCCCTAATCAAATAATTATTCCAAATCGAGTAAGTATAAAGTCACATATTTAAAATGGGTCAAATCTAAGTAGCTCCCAAAGTTAACTGTTATGAAATTGCAAATTTCTTAATAAACTTGAGATAATCTGTAATCTGCGTAATCACAAATAATTTTTATGTACATCTTAAATTATTAAATATAGTGTTATATCATAATCCTTACTTAATAATTTTACTCCTCAGGTGTAAAAGGGTCTACTTTTACGACATGTGCGATATCGATGCAACGAGTCATTGCAGTGTTTTGGCCACTAAGGTTTAGCCAGGTTGTGACCATGAGTCGGACATACATCGTCTGCTTCGGAGTCATCCCTGGTCTCCTGCTAATTGAAGCCTTTACCTATTACAAGCAAGCGACGGAGCACTTAACCCTGTATTATCTACCGGCTGGACTAATCCTGGTTTTTGCAAATTTGGCTACGACAATTAAGGTATGGATGGATTATTGCAAGCAAAAAATAATGACCGTACTCTGGTCAACTTCGCAAACAAATCTCGTACATTGAAAATAGCAACGCCACCTGCGAAATTTTGTTAAACCTGCCTAATTTCGCAAAATATTTTGCGGAATAATCATTTTTTCGCTAATCTACCCAGCAATTAGGCATGTTTTCTTTTTATTTATTTCGCAAACTCATCCTCCTTATTGAATGCTTTAGAAATTTCAAATAGCATGAACACGGAAGCCGAATCAGAACAGGATAACAGCTTTGCGAAATTGTATTTTGCGAATAATCACTATTTTTTAATTTGGTGATTGAATTGCGAAAATGCGGAGCAAAACATTGTTCAGCGTACGCGGAATAGTTAAATTTTCGCAAAATTTGTGCTTGTCGCTGTCAACGCGATGCTAATGTTAAGCTTGGTTGACATTAAATTTTTGCTCACCGGTTACAAATTTTTATAACCTGCAAATGTTTTGTATATGCTTTAAATAATTGCATCTGTTAATTATTAAAACACAATTTTTGAAAATTTTCAGCTTATTCAGATTCGCAAACAGCGTTCCACCATGACTCGGAGTGAAGTCAAGAATCGAAAAGCGACCATAATGCTGCTCACAATATCGGGATTCCACGTGCTTTACTTGATCACTGTTTTATTGATGGTCCAAACCGCGGGATTGTTTGCAACATTTTTTACAATTGTGTACCTTAACCTGTTAGCAATTAGGCCCAGCTTAAACGTAATTATTTATTGCGTTTTTGGCCAACGGATACGAGATGGTTTTAAGAAGCTGTGTTGTTTTTGGGTGTGCCTGTGCAAAAGGGGGGAGAATCGTGGGGACGTTGGGGGAGGGAGTACTTCTCAAGGGCAAGAAGGCAGTGGTTTATCGGCCACTACGGGAATTTAACTTCTTTCGTACTACAAAATTTTTCAGAAAAGTTACCTTCGGTAAGACTTTGAATTCATAATTACATACACCTGATACAAACCAATTAAAATTTCAATAAATTTATATTTGTTTAGTTTTTATTTGACTAAATTACGAAAAATCCACTTTTTAAGTTAAAAACTGGATTTTTTCGATATTTTTGCTCTGAAATTTTGGAATTTTGCATGTAGCAGCCAATGCTAGAGGGTGTTCCGGAAGTAATGCAACTTTGGTCAAATGCACATATAAACTGAACCAATGAATTTATTTAGGCGAAATTTTGGCCAGAAAGAGACAAAGGTTAAAGCTAATTACTTTTTGCTTCGAAAGGTCCATAATCTCCTTCCTCCCAATTTGGGGAAGCTTTTGTCGGGCGCTCCCCATTAGTGCTTCGCCACTGTTTTTGGTTATCTTTTTTGGGATTTTTGACCATATGTGGTGAAATAAGTTCAAATTTTTGAATGAATTTTTTCGATTACAATATTCTTTCTTGGATAAAAACTAAAATTGTTCAATAGGTCTTGTAGTTGGCAAATTTCGGAACCTCTCCCATGTTAATTGCATTTGATCCGTTTTAAGGCGGGACAGGATACTTTGGCTCAGATTTATTTTCCAGTTTTGCATAAATGGTTTTCTTGGAGGTGGGAGAGTTGTACTACGTGCAAATAAAAGCATTTTGATAATCTGAGCAGTAAATCGTCTTGTACAGGAATATCAATTTTGATTAAGTTTGATTACTTCAGGTCAAGAATTTTTTCTGCGCTACTGCTTGCTACTTTTATTTTACTCTTTACTATATTTATAAGCTTATAGAACCTTCTAGGATTTGATGTCCAACTTCTAGGCTTTAAAATAATGTATGGTGTTAGGTGACAACTTCAAGTACTTCAGCGAATTTCGCTCCGACATTGCAAATTTCTGTTTGAACGAAGTTTATTACTTTCGGGGCTGTCACACGAATGGGTCGACCAGATATTTTTTGGCGATTAGTAGTTTTTTACAGCTCATACTTTAGTAGTACACAGCAAATTGTCCCTTTTGAAATTTGTTCTTTTTTAAAGTGAGCACAGCTCAATTTCATGGAGCGCGTAACCACTTTTGCGTGGTAGTGGCGGACGATGGTTGCGAGTTGCTCGGTGGTATTTGACCTTATTTTGGAACGGATAGAGATATCGATTTCTGGTTTTCGGATTCTACTAGATAGACGTATAGACTACAATATTTACCCTATTTCGAATTTGGGGCAAATTGATACCCTTGGATATATGCATTTTACCAAAGTTGCATTACTTCCGGAACACCCTCTAAAACGCAAAATTCCAAAATTTCAGAGGAAAAATATCGAAAAAAATCACGTTTTGCCATCGAGATTTCCACAAAATACCGTATAAATATTTATTTCTTATAAATTTTGAGATCAAGGTAATTTATGTGTTTATCTGTATAAGCTGTCTAGTTGAATCTCTTGCTTGTGAGAAATACGGGGACGAAGATGAGACAATGGCTCTACAAATTGTCTAGGCTTAAGTCTGTAACTCAGTTCGTAAACTTACGAACATCAGGTTATAAATGTAGCTGTTTTTATTCGAATTCAATGTGAACCTTTTTATGCGAATAAGTGTGTTGCCGAATAATGCTTTTTGTGAGCGAAAACGAAACAGAACTACGAGTTTATTAACTAGTTGAGAGACGAACAAATACAACTACAAGACGACGCTTCTTTCTCTCTGGAGAAGAAGAAGCATCTTGCCTTGGGCAAAATCACCCTTTTCATCCCAAAAGGAGAGATTTTGCCCGTACATGAAATTTTGAGTAATACATATCCAAATCATAATAGTGTAACAGTAAAACGACCAGTTTTACGGTTACACTGCCGACATCAAAACAAAATTTACAATTTTGAATGGAATGTAAAGGAGATGAAATTTACAATGGAAAGTATTTATACAGCAGTTTTTCTTTTACATATTAATATAGGTATTCCTATGTACTATTTTATCATGTTGGGTGGTGTGGGCTCCGATTCAGTACAAATTTGGAGTTTGTACTTGCCGATTCAGCATTTTTTTATGAATCTGGTGATGTGGCTAATCCGACATAGTTAAGTAGGTGAGCTCAGATAGCAAAACGTCTTTCACCCTGCATTATATACTACAAACTTACAGCTACAACATTTCTCAAGATGGTAAGTACAATTCGAAATTTTTAGAGGTTTGTCGCCCCTTGAAAATAATAATTGATTAAAATTGTGTGTACATATGTAAAATAGATTGGTGTCCTTTTGCTATTCTGCTTGGTGGGGACGGTGGTGGGTAGAGGACAATCCGTGGAGCAAGTTAATGTCCCCAGATGACTTCAGGGACCTCTTGTGTAATCGGAATCGGTCCCGAGTGGAGTCTGGACTCCCTCATCAATCGCCATGTAGGGAATGTTTCAAGAGGGGCAATGCCACTCGCCATGCGGTCTTCTTCATACGTATGGTGCCGGTGCTATACGAATGTGGCTGGTGGGAGGAGTTCCCACAGCCAAGCAAGGGCGAGTATTTTACCGCCCATTATGTTTGTACAGCAGATGAGTGTGGAATGCCCTTCATCCCCGCTAAGTGGAGGCGTCAAGATGTGTCCTGTTTTATCCACCGTATGTTATATACAAATATCTTGTTAAATGTTAGCTAAATTAAAACATGGACAAACAGTTCACATTCTCAGCAAATGTATGTACATATAATTTAAAATATATATTTTTTTTGGTTTTCAGCGGATTTACCAAGCCAAATGGCTTCAGCAGTAACGAAGGACATTTGTCTTTCTCCAGAAACGTACCTTCGCCAACGCACCGCCAATATGATGATTAATTCCCCGTATTCGTGGTGGTCCCAATTTTGGGACCGAATTTCGGTCCTCGAGGTAGACGACCATTACTGAAATGCTGGATGTACTACCGGATCGCCTCGAGCCAAGAACGCGATCACGGAGGAGACAAAATTACAATTACATTTAACTTATGTGAAAATATTGCAATAAATGGTGGACCGAGATTGTTCACAAAGAGTGCTACAATCTCTTGTAGAATATATATATTTATGTACTTACATACTTAAGGAGAATTGTGTACGATACACTTTCTCAATTTACAAACAAGAGTACGAAATCACACAGTATTGGCATTATTTTAAGGAACTAAATTTCAAATAGAGATAATCTGGACGTATGTTAGTAATTGTTTTTACATTTGGATTCATGTCATTTCACTAGAGAGAGAATTGAAGGACATGTGTGAGTATATAGAGATGCGTATGTACACATACATTATTAAGGGGTGAAAGCCCTTTATAAGATCGTTATGTCCGTCTGTCTGTCCGTCCGTCCGTCCGTCCGTCCGTCTGTCTGTCCGTAGCTCCGATAACTTTTGAACGAAAAGACATAGACACTTGAAATTTTGAACGTAAACTCCTAGCGTCAAGGGACAGGACGAGTTCGAAGATGGACACTGTGACATCGTCACCTGTGACGATGACATCGTCAGTGACGAAAAGTGACGAAAAAGTGTCACGTGTCAGTTTTGACATGTGACACATCATTTTTAACTATTTTTCAATGAGGAATTCGAAAATTCATGTCATTTTGTGTTTGGACGTCACCTGTGACGATGACATCGTCACGGTGACGAAAAGTGACGAAAAAGTGTCATTTGTCAGTTTTGACATGTGACACGTCATTTTTAACTATTTTTCAATGTCAAATTCAATGGTGACCTCCATTTTGACCTCAGAGGTCATATAAAGGTCCCATAAGGGTTATCAACTGTTAAATTTGACACAAATAAGACACAAAAGTCGAAAACACGTCAGAAGTGTCAATCTTAACAAATTTTCGAACAATTTGATATTCACATTGACGTATGACACTCCTTTCACCCCTTGGTTACATGCGTTGTAACGGTTTATTATCCATAGGTCTGGTTGTGCTGCTAACATATGTACATAGGTAGACGGAGTATGCATATTGAAAGAGTCTGCATTTACATATATACGTGAAATCAATCTTACAAAATATCTTAAGTCATTAGATTTGTTTATACAATTATATGGAAATGAGAGTATAATTATGACATAATATTTATCAGATACAGATTAAAGATGTAGGCATTTTTAGACCATAAAGAATGGTCGCAATTTTGTACCTTTTTATTTGATTTATTTATGAGTCAAACAAAAGTGAATGTTGACAATAAAAGTTACCTCAGAATTCATCCGGGATGAGATGAAGTTCGTAAAAAAAACATTCACTCTCGATTGATGCATAGTTTAGCTTCTTAGTTTATCATGTGTATATATATATATATATAATGCACTAAAAGCTATACATATGGTTATTATGGGATTCTGTATAAGGAATGAATATATTTGAGCTACATAACTACTAGTAAAATTTACAGAGTGTTTTTACTATAAGGGCATTCCGTGAAAGAAAGAAAGATCTTAGAGGTAGGATCGTTTAGTGGTTTACTGGTAGAGAGGTCGAGTAGCCACGACATAAATATCCCTTTTATCGGGACGTGTGACAAACCAGACAAACCCTACAGGGAGGTGGCAGGTCGTAATGATTTACACATCATTTGAGGGAAAGCCCAGATCAAATGAATCCAAGCCAATTCGCGAAGGCCAAAGTAATTTATGTTAGTTCGATTTTTATATTTGATTAGGGAGGAGAGGCACATACCGAATAAACGGCGTAGAAACTTACTGGGGAGTAGGAGACCTAAATAAACGCGTTTTTTATTCAGGAAAGCCTCAAGGATTGAGGATTCAGTACTCACCAGGAATCGTACATTCCTGCGTTTTAGTGCCGAAAGAGAAAGAAAACAAATTCTGGTGGAGGTATCTCCGGTCGAGCCTTCCATGGGTTCGCTTAAAATGCATTTTCGTACGAGTAGGAGTGAGTTGTTGGGTATTGAGGAAACGAAATAGATTGCAGTTTCAAAGGGCTTAGGATCACCCTTTCCTACTCGTACTGGGCCAATAAGGAAATTACTGCAAAATTTAGAGAGGTGAGTTAATGTCTCATGATCAGTGGAGAAAGAGGACGTGACTTCAGGGACAAAATCTGTCCATGTTGACAAGAAATTTGGTTGCTTGTGCCGAGGTGTGGGGTGGGGAGGAGGAGGAGGATGGATGGAATTTTTATGGCCGTGGTCAGTCATTTCGCAACCTGGTCAGGAAACTCTGTTCTGGGTAGAGGCGGTTCGGTTCCACGTCAGTTGAGTGACCTGGGTGAAAGGTAACGGCTGGTACAGATCCAATAGTTCTATTGGATTGTAAGTGAGGATGATGGTAGGAGATTTCAGGGTAGGACGGTAATCGATAGGATTGGTTGATTTTGGAACGTGAGGATGGTAGATAGGACTCAGGATCTGGTTGATCGGGCGAAATGTCCACACATTCTATGCGTAGTTTCTTTCTACACGCAATACAACAGACCACCAAAACACCTAGAAACAAGAGATTAAATACCAGAATTGTTGAGAGCCAAATTGTGATATGGTGTGTTAGTTCAGTGTCAGTGAGGGCTCGAGCAGGACTGACTTGCGTATACGCGACACCAGCGGCAACATGAAATTTACGATTTAATAGCGTTAGTTTGTAGAGCAAATAGAAGATTATGCATGCAAGAAAAATATCTCCAAACAGAGAGAATCCTCCGCTGTACAGGTTTGCATGAGAGGCTAGGTGGCTAATAAAACTTCCTTTTTCCGAGAATTGATAAGCTTTTCCTACGTCTAAGACGAGGTCAGATTTAAACCAGGAAGGGTTAAAAGCGCTACTGAAATTCTGATGGCCTTCGCTAGCCAGAAGAGCTTGGTCTAGGCGAATGGCTCGCAAGATCTGGTCTCCTGGCAGATAACTCCAGCGTGAGGGGATGATAATTGAGACCTTTGGAACAGTAGGGGTAGGTGTTGAATGCACATCATGATAACAGGGGAATGGCGGACGTACGTCATCATGCAAATTTTGTGCAAATTTGAGAGTGCACCCACACTTTAAGTGAATAAGATACGACCCTTGGGTGATGGAATTATTGGATAGTGAATGACGGGTTAAATGCTCCGAGGAATTTTGACATTCAATCCAAGTGGTTGTAGAGGGAATGAAAACGGCGTAACTATAGGAATTATCCTGAAAACCCAAGCTAACTACTGAAATACTTGCGGGATTGCTATCGACGCATTTAAAAGGACAAGCCGTGTGGAGGACATCCTTGGAAACACCTCCAGCGGTTAATAAGGCCTGGATGCAATCGACAGAACTTCGGGCGGAAGAGGAATAAGGAAAGAATCGACAGAAGTGGGCATCGATATTACAAAGCGATGCGTCCGAATTAGTAATCGGATAGACATGATGACCATGGAAGACCACAAATAGGTGGCTGTCCAAGAGATGGCAAATCTGAGCGGGTCTGTTGGGCGGGACGTGGCGGAAATTTAAACTGAAAATCTCGGCCAATTAAAAATTGGATTTAAGGGGGCGTATTGGCACGTCCAAGCGAATCGTTAATTTTCCATTGGCGAGGTTGGATATACAATGGGCCAAAGGATGTTGGAAATAAGCACTGATGTGAGTGCGGGGGATTGCTAATTCCATATTTGAGCTGGATAAAGAGTTTTCAAGGGTACTTAACTCATGCGAGAGTTGCGAAGAAGTTACAGCAAGGGGGCTCAGTTTTAACTGGGTACAAGATGAGAGAATATGGGCATAGTGATTTGCTTCTACAGAGCGCATCAGTATTTCAGAGATTTGGGCCATATTGAGCAGGGTGCGAGTGGACCCGGAAGATAGACCTTCCAATTGATGAGTGACCTGAGTATGCTCCTCATCGAATTGGTTGGTCAGATGCGAGGCTAACTTTTGTAGGCCCTCGTCCGTATCGTGACGGAGGAGGTTGATACCTTGGGCGAGCACAATATTTGTTTTCTCAGTCGCATGAATTGCTTCTTTCGTTTGTGAGTAAAGTTTTTCGGCGTCAAAAACGGTAGATCCAATCTCAGGAGGGTTAAAATAATTGAATATTTTATGTCCAAGATACACCGAGGCGGCACCAAGTGCGGCAGAAGCGGCTACGATTTGTCGCCGGGGGCGAGCAACTGGGATTTGTCCGTTGGGGCTTATTTGGCGGGTTTCTCTGCGACCTCGTCGAAAAAGATCGGTGACCTCGGAAGAATTGATGTCTGGGGGACTTTCAGAAAGTGTCTCATTTAAGGGTGTTTCATCTCGTTCAACAGACGAAGATGTGGTTGGTTTGGGGCGGCGAGGAATATCGTTGGTCTGAGAGTGGAGATTAACTGCTTCCGATTTTGGAGGTTCGGAGGACTCCAAAGAAGAGACGTTACGAGTATGTTGTACGATCAAATGGGACGAGGGAGGCGTAGAATTTCGGAGGAAACTGGGGATAGGAGGATCCATTCTGAGAGCTGTGTTGACGGCTTTTCCTGTAAGGGCTCCAATTATGTGTGAAGTGCGGGTATTAATTGCATCAAGATTTGAATGCAGCATTTGAAAAATCAGGCAGGATGTGCTGATGTTATCGGGGGGAAGAGAGTTGCAATGTTGGTTCATTTGTGAAGAATAATAAGCGTGGGGGGAAGTGAAAGTGAAATGGATTTGGAAAAATATCGGTGTGGAATCGGCGTAGATAAGTACGGATTGCGGGGCTGGTTTAATGTAAATCCCGAGACCACATGAGTTCGGGGATTCAGGATCGCTTCTTCAACCGCATGAGAACAACAGGTTATAGACAAGAGAATCAACAACAGAGAAGGCGAAAGGAGAGCCATTCTGAAAGAGAAAAAAAAATAAACGGTGTTATTCATCAGTGCGGAAGCGTACGACCGGTTTAGAAATACGTCCAAAACGAGAACGTCGTTGTGGAATAGTACTAACAGAAGGCTGGGTGTGAGGTGTTGGGAGAAGGATGGATTTCAATTCTTCCGGTAGTTCAAAAGTAGAGTCGTGATGAGTAGATTCGTCATCATCTGAAACTGTAAGGTCATTT